AGCACAGATAGCCCATTGTGTAGCTTTGTGCTTAATTACAGACAAAAGTATTAACTAAATACTTAAGAAATTATGCGCAGTGTATATTATATTGATTGTCAAACAGAATAAACATGAAATGGTATCGATTAAAGTAATTTCGATCAAAGCATGTGTATATTTTTACTTTTTTTATTATTTCTGTATTTTCTCAGCGGTCCAGTGCATGAAGCCCATGGAGCCTAAGAATGGTTTTCTGAAGTGTAAAGACAGTCAAACAAGGGTTGCAGGCCGTACTCGCGGCGACACATCAAGAGGGAGCAGGCCCAACTATATTAAAGGGACCATCTGTGAATATGTATGTGACGTGGGATATGTTATTCCGACAACGCAGCTTAAAAAGACTGTAATACAATGCCAGGCACCTAACTGGAACAGTACTATGGATCCAGAGTGTACAAGTATGTCGTCTAATAAGGATATCAATAAACACCACAATGTATAAATATCTATTTATTATCAGTGTACAAGAATGTCGTGAAAAAATGATATTACTAAACACCATAGTATATAAATCCCTCGTTACAGATATATTGTCTACAAATGATATACACAAACATCAATGTCTAAATTCCTAGTTATTATCAGAGTGAACAAATATGTTGTATAATAAGGATATCCATAAAACAACCATAGTGTCTATATCCCTAATTATTAGCAGAGTGATCAAGTATGTTGTATAATAAGGATGTCCATAAAACAACCATAGTGTCTATATCCCTAATTATTACCACAATGAACAAGTGTGTTGTATAATAAGGATATCCATAAAACACCACAGTGTCTATATTTTTAGTTATTATCAGAGTGAACATGTATGTTGTATAATAAGGATATCCATAAGACAACCATAGTATCTATATTCCTAGTTATTACCACAATGAACAAGTATGTTGTATAATAAGGATATCCATAAAACAACCATAGTGTCTATATCCCTAGTTATTATCAGAGTGAACATGTATGTTGTATAATAAGGATATCCATAAAACAACCATAGTGTGTATATTCCTAGTTATTACCACAATGAACAAGTATGTTGTATAATAAGGATATCCATAAAACAACCATAGTGTCTATATCCCTAGTTATTATCACAATGAACAAGTATGTTGTCGACCTGAGGATATCCACACAGAGGGTTGAATACGTTATATTTAAATGATTTTTAATATACAAATAAGAAAATCCCGTGAAAATCACAGTCAATATAAAGTCACCATGGAAAAGCATGTACCATAACTACATTTTGACATTGTTTAGTGTTATTTAGGTAGTGTGATGTCAGTGAAAATATATTACTTTTAGGTAAGGTTTGTAATATCCCTTTCTAATGCAAAGTATTCATATACCCAGGTTATAAAGGTTTGTTCAAATTGGAGATTTAAACTTTCCGAAACAAGGCTATTCATTGTACTTAATAGCATTGAAAAACAAAATACTATGGATCAATTTGAGACACCATGATCACTCAGAAAAAGACCTCCAGCAAAGCGTAACCGAGTCGTGGTAAGAAAACTGCGGTTTTATGTAACAGGTGAAACTCCATGAATGCAAAGATAAGTGGCAAAAGTCCCCCACATGCCCCAGGTAATAATACGAAACATAACCAAGAAGGATTTCCATCTGAAAAATTGGGCAAGTCATGTGTACACCAGTTGCTTCTACGACATATCTGTTGAACTGTAACTTACCTAAAACAGTTGGAGAATAAAACAGGTATTCATGCTATTTCATACGAAGACAAGTTGCCGTACGCGACATTATGGATTTCTGTGTGATCGGGCTATTGAAACGGGCACTGAGAAACTTGTCCTCGTACACTAGACTGATTATGGAACAAAATGTGGGAGGAGTGGTGTACTTTGGGTATGACAGCCTTACAATGAAACCCTTTGAAAGGACAACGGTTCAAAATCGTTTTAATACAACGTATTCAATCTCTGTATATATTACTACTCTTAGGTTTATAATTTGAACATTTTCTAAAGAAGGAAGGACCATCTTTCGAAAGCTGTTATACTTTCGTGTGTTACGTTGTTTGTGTTGATCACATTAACTTTATGAATAGAAATATAACTACATATACAGTGAAAGCATTGTTCATCAGCATATAGCTGTAAGTACAACTAACATATTTAACAAATTTGTCTACATGTTTTACAATATAATTGTCAACTTTGAGGTTTTTCATGCAAGAAACAGCCCAATCTTTAACTGTTATCCATTTCTAATAGTAATATTTTTATTTGGAACAGATGTTTAATATAGGAGAAAAAAAAAAACTCGCAACAACGGAAAGTACTTTTTTTTTCTTCAGGAATTGTACCTCCAAGTTACGACCCTGAAGACTGTCAGGACCAAACGCTTACGGTTGAAAATGGATTTGGGTATGTGCAGAAACCCAGGTTTAAGGCGGTGGATGGGACTGAACTTGAAGTAGAATGTACTATAAACGGACAACTCAAACCAGGAGAATATGAAAACTACTGCGAGGCGACCGATCCTGAGTTACGTGTGTCCACTCGCTGTTCGTACAGAATTAGCATCAAAGGTATTTTTAGGACATGCCACTGAGCTTTATATATATATAACTGGAGTGGAGACAGCCACGGATAAAACTAAGTCAGAGTGCCGCCATATTTGCGCACCCTTCAATATCTATGGCTACGATGTGCGAAATCCTGATTCACTCATTTTTTTTGCTTTGCTTAAAACTCATGGTATGATTATTTTAGATTACCAAATAAAGTAACAGTTTAAAATACAACACCAGTTGAAAAAACAACAACAAACAGTTATTTCTCTATAAAATCCATTTTGGAAAGGCGTGAATAATTTTATAACTGAAATATTTCTTCCATAAATGTTGTGCCATAACAGATTCACAAAAGTTAGTAGGTATTTGTTTCAACTACCTGCAGAACAATATCAAAAAAATACTTAAAAAGAGAAGATCAACAGTGGTATGTAACCTTTATAACATAGCCAAAAACTTATATAACGTATATAACTTAGATGTTAAAATTTGCAACAACAAGAAATAATAGCCGAGACAAAATATAACTGGCAAACTGATTTTCACTGTGAAATCTGAACACAGTAATAAAAGTTATCTTTAATTAAGAGAAATACTTCTTGCAGTGTTGTAAAGAAAAATATCTTAAGCACTGTAAGTAAACGTAATTCAGCCTTGCTCATTTGTAAGTGTGGATGCAAAACAATATACATGTTGTATAGTAGTGATATATTTTATTCATATTTCTCAAAATTGCGAATCATCAAATCAGAAGGAAAACAATTGTTAACAAATTTAACAATATAAACATAGCTACTGGTGTTGAAAAAGAACCAGTTTAGTTAACCGCTTGCACACTCTTGTTCCCAGAATGTTAGCTGTTTTCCAGGATGATGGAATTGGATTTTAGAAAAACACTGTGCTATTAGCTTGATAAGAATGAAAACATGGTTATCACAAACAGGTTAGTCAAGCACGTGATTGTCAGGAAACACATCTACATCTTATATATGTATCATTACAGGCAAGGATTAGCTGAGAGAATCCCAGTTCCCTGGAGACGGTTGCCACTTGTCATTGCAAGCAATTTTAATACTACTTTTTCTATAATCTGGGAAACAGTTATAACACTTCTACCAGGTTTCAAATGACCTTCCACGGCCTTCTGCTTAAAGATTGAGTGAAGTACAGTATTGTCTCTTTCAGTTAATGACCCCGAGTACTATGAAGATGAAATTTTATTGTACAACATTTTCGTCACAAAGCCATCTATGTAAATAATTGCTGCCTCTTTGTAGTCGATTAGGGTGTGACACATAACATCAGGAATGTCATCGAGATTTTCAATGGTAGCTTTCTCTTTGATGAGGCCATACTTCTTTGCAATCAACACTTCTGTAGTGCTGATGAGATTTTCGTCCACAACTTGACTGTCACAGAGTACTAACAGGATATGTATTGTATCTTGTGGAACACAGTTTCCATTGCGTTTACATTTAATATTTTGTTTCATAAGAAAACATTTGTATGCAAATATAAACTGAACATTCAAGTGCTTTAAACCTTCTATATAGCTCAACCCAGAAGAAGTCAGCTTGCTCAATCTTTCTTTATTACTCCAACGCATTGAGGCCTTAAAATTCATAGCACAGGGATTTCATTTAGAAGGTCAAATATGCTATCAAACCTTCTAATGAATTTTGTTGTGGTTCCACAATCTGTAAACCCCTGTAGGTTCAATGTATTTTGGCAATAGTATATTGTATCAGTAACACTTGTGCCAAGTGCTTGTGCGACCAAATTTACCCCTAACTTTTGTTTATTCCAGTCAATATGGGCAGATTTCAGTTTGTTTCCAAGCCTAAGTTCTTCATCCTCCTGAAGCTTATGCAGATCTGTGATAAAGCACCAAGAATTAATTTGTCCTTCAGCGTTCATAATCATAACATCAGCTGCAAATGCATCCGCAAAAGTTTCAGCGTGTGGGAAGCATCAAAGAGGGCATGTATTTTTCTATCACTTGATGGATCTTGGAAATGGGGTCTAAAGGTTGTGGGATCCTGTAAATGATACACTTCTCATACCAGCATCATGGAGCCGATGAAGGCATTCTTCGACAATATTTGCTGTCTCTTCTCCAGACAATCCATTTATTAAAACAAAAAGCCTACTGGAACTTTCCAGCTTCTCATTCAAAGTTACCACCATCAGTACAAGAGCATTTTTGCAGGTGGTGTTGAGTCGTCAACTTCAATTGCTGGTAATTCTATGTCAACAAACCTGTAGACTTTCCCTTTGTAAAGCTCATTGTGCTTCCTAATATTAATTTCCTTCAGCATTAGGGAACATAACGTCTCTAATAGTTTTCTTTGTTCTCCTTAACCTTCACTACCGTAGTTTCAAATGCTGCACGTGTAAATCCAGGCTCTCCTCCAATGATACTGTACCAGCGTCTAATTGTCCTGGTACTTGACAAACACAGGTCAAATGTTTCCCGCACAAATTCATATGCCTTTGTAGAGTAAAGCTGTAGTGTAATGGCAAATGATTGCAGTTCAGTGGGGAATATACCAGCTCTTAGTTAACGCTGATTCCTGAGAAGTGTTTTGCATTAGCACTTTTGGCAATCCACTGAAAGTGGCCTCAAGAATTCAGCACATTTGTCAGAAATTAAACCACGGTTCTTGATGGAGTCAATGACATTAGTGAGGTGATTGACTTTAAGTTTTAGCCTTTTGATCTTTTGCTATTCCGTTTTGAGATTTTTCTTTTGGCTTCCAATTTATCAATAGTGGACAAGTACTTCTTGTATAACTTGCTTGGAGAATCCAAATGATAATTATGATCAGATGAAGTACTTATAGGATCTGCAGATATCCTCAGCATCTGAAACAATGTCTGGGTGATGTTTTGACGAGCCAACATCCCTCTCTTGAGGTCTGCAAAACATGAAAATAGTGTTAGAAAGCTTACCAAATATTTTTGCAAACTGCAAATAGTTTTACAGAAATGTAATATAACTTTGTTGTGAAAGTGATGCCCAACACAAACATGAAAAACTTTCATGTTTGATAACTGTTTTTCAAATTTACCAGATTAAAAGATACTTTGACAATGAAACCGTGTGTGAATCAGAGAAAAGGTTTCATTGTGCTTTCATACATGTTGAAGACCAAAATTGATGTTAGATAAATGCAAAGCATTTCAATCTATTCAACATGGAGTAGGGTGTTATAAAAATGCATATTCATCATTAACTGTTTCTATAAATATTATATAAGAGACATAGTTTTTATAAAATTTTAACGGCATGATAATTTTCAACAAACTTCAAACCTATGATAGACTACAGATGTAGATCATGATACTGCTAACATACATATAACTGAAAGAAAGGACAACCTACCTTTTGACGATGGGGAAGAAAATAAAAATATTGGTTCTGCATACTTTCTCAACCTGACTATCTGTTCAGTACGATCAAAATAATTTTCTTGAAAGTGTTTAGAACACAATAAGGTATCACTTCCTGGTGTTCAGTGATCCCACTTCATGTTTACAGTCCATATGCTTAGTGTTTGTGGATTTGTTATTGGAAATCTAGGGAAAAGTTTCAAGAGAAAAGGTGAGTTACTATGGCAAAGAATCATTATGATGTGTGATGAATGTTACTTTTGTTAGTTAATGTTGTTTTATAAAAACTTGGCACTATCAAGGCTATTTCGTGCTGATGAAATCTATCTTGAGTCTATGACATGGATAAGTTCTAAGACTCTGCTTAGAATAATAGATACAGCCCCTAAGGGGCAAATAAATTAAAAATTCAAAACAATAACATTTAAATCACACGATAAACCTAACCGATGCACTAATTTATAAATGACAAACGGAGTAATGGTGCTATATTTCATGAATTACAACGTTCTGTCCGTTATTCACTAAATTAGTCAGCAGTATATACAGGTCACTTTTGTAAGTTGTCATTTAAACATGGTAGTATTGGAAGCATAGCCTATAATACGTTCATAAGCAGATGTTAGAGAATTCGAGATACTTGTACTAAGCACATTTGCTAACAATAACATTGTCGGAATTTATGGTCATATTATGGTCGCCAATTGTCAATTAAAAGGGTTTTACTTCTACTTCCTAACAGTATAAATATATACTGTGTTGCTGTTAGGCTTAGGATTCTTCTACAGTAGGTGTCTGTGACTTGTTGGGGATAAATTCAACGACAAATGAGCAGCACACACTTCATTTGTTTTCAAAATAATATGTATATTCGGAACAAGATAAATGTACGTATAATAAATTAGTCACACTACAGAGATTATAAGCATATCATAAACACTATATATGTAGTTCTCTTCTTGTTGTCAAAAGTCCACTTAGGCCTATTCAATTGCTTTAGAATTTCAGTTGACGAGCCGAACTATCTTCCCCATTACTATCGCACTAGTATTCTGTGTGGGATTCATTTACAGTTGTGGCGCGAGTTAGCGTAATCGTTTGGTCTTCCCTTCTTTCTTTCTTCTAAATATCCTCTGTTTGTTTTGTCAAAGTGCACTCATGCTGATTCAATTACTTTAGAACCACGCTTTGTCGGAATAATTGTTCTTATTTTCTCATTTTCTACTGTTAGTCTTACTCTAACATATTAAACGTTAGGCCTATCACTTCTATGGTAGAACTTTTCCTTGCCAGTAACTTTACTCTCTTCTGCTATTGTATGTCTACTGTTTCCGCTCATCTCACACTATTTTTATGTTTCTCACTTAATCGTCTGCCCACTGTCTGGAAATCTCTATATTCTCGACGTCCTGTATTGCACGCGACGTCCCAACATCAATGACTTATAAACACAAATTCCTACAATCATCTGTTTTTAA